TATCTGAGGGGCGAAGTGTCCGACTCTTGACGCGGCTCAGGTCGTGATCTCACGGTTCCGGGACGGGGCCCCCCGTCGGGCTCTGTGCGGACGGTGCAAAGACCGCTTGGATTTCTTTCTCTCCTTCTCTCTCAGCCCCGCCCTGCTCACGCTCTGTCTCTCTCTCGCTCTCAGAAGAGTAGCGGGGCCGCCCTCCGTCTCCCCGCCAGACCCGGGCAGTGAGAGCAGGGCAGGCGCGCAGCAGCCGCGTCCCCGTCCCGTGCGGGCCTCCGGGGCCGGGCGTGCGCACTGCCGCTCCTCCTCCTGTGCCCCGGCCCCCCCCCCCGCGCAGACACTAAAAAATAAACGCACTATTTAAACCAAGCCCATGGCTTCTGGAAAGAAGTGTGCTTCCCCGGCTAAGACTTCACGGCAGAAAACCTTCAGAGGGTGGAAGACAACGCGACCGAGGGCTGTTTCTCCTGCTGAACTGCCGGCAGCGAGTGTGATGCTGCTCACCGGGCGCCCGACGTGCCCGCTTGGCCCTGGCTTCCGTCTGACAGAGCTCGTTCATCAGGCAGGGCGGGCGTGGCTCGAGGTTCGCGAGTGTCCCCTTGGCGGGGCTGCCCTGTGGGGCACAGGCGAGCGCACCGCGGGGACCGTCCCGACTCCGGGGGCGGGGGCGCTCGAATACGTTCACATCTGTCAGCGGCCCTCACGGGCCTGAGCTCCTGTGTAGACGACCACGCCTCCCAGGCTCCCCCACACGTGGTGGGCACACGGGGAAGCTGCCACGCGGAGAGCCCGCGGTTCTGCCGCGTCCTCTGAAAATATGAGAAGAGGGATGACAGGCAGCCACCACCCTTCGCAGATAAGGGTTCCCTGAGGACAGGGTGGGGGTGACTGACCGCATCGGGGTCAGCTGGAGCAGCGCCCGTGGCCGGGGTGGCAATGACTGGCTAAGTTCCCCAGCCCCACCCCTTCCTCCCACTCCCCAGCCAGCCCACGGCTCCCCAGTTTGTGTCTCAGAGATGCCTTTTCTCCCAGAAAGCTGTTCTGATGCTCCTTTGGAGTCGGCTGGCGCTGCGCTCGCCCCCTCAGGCCCCACGCCCCCCGGCAGGTGGACAGAGCTCACTTCCCTGGGGGGGCCATGCCCTCCAGCCCCCAGCCTCCCCCTCCCCCCCCACCGGCGCACAGAGCTCACTTCCCTGGGGGGACCGTGCCCTCCAGCCCCCAGCCTCCCTCCCCCCCACCAGCGCACAGAGCTCACTTCCCTGCAGGGACCGTGCCCCCGGGGAATGCTCGCCCCCCCAGCCCCCAGCCCCCCCCCACAGGTGCACAGAGCTCACTTCCCTGCGGGGAGCCCCGCCCTCGTCCCTGCACCTTCTTCCTTGTAAGGAGTGCAGGTCGCGGGAAGCATTGGAATCTGACGGCTCTGGGTTAACATGTGCCTCCGGCTGGCCGTGTGCGTTTGGGGAGGTCACGTAGACCCCGCTCCCCGGACATCAGCCTTCCGAAGGAGGGTGTCATGGCTTTCTCTGACTGTGGTAAAATACACATGACACACAATGTACCTTCTTAGCCATTTTAAATTTTTTTTTTTTAATGTTTTTTTTTTTATTTATTTCTAGGAGAGAGAGAGAGAGAGACAGCGTGAGCAGGGGAGAGTCAGAGAGAGAGGGAGTCACAGACTGAAACAGGCTCCAGGCTCTGAGCTGGCAGTCAGCACAGAGCCCGACGCGGGGCTCGAACCCACAAACCGCGAGATCATGACCTAAGCGAAAGTCGGACGCTTAACCGACTAAGCCACCCAGGCGCCCCCCTTCTTAGCCATTTTAAGCGCACAGTTAAGGGGCATTAAGCACACCCACATTCCTGTGACTGTCAGCACCCCCATCCCCAGAAGGTGCCATTTTCCCAAACCCAAACTGTCCCCAGTGAACTCCAACCGCCCTCGTGCTGCCCTGCTGCCCCCCCCCCACCTGGCCCCTGGCCCCTTCCCACCTCACATAGGGGGGGACCCAGGGTCTCAAGTTCATCCTGGGTCAATGGGGGTATTGACTGAAGTCTCTGTCTGAAGCGCCTGCCCAGGGTTGAGCATACAGTAAGTGCTCAATTAGTGTCATTCTCCTCTCTTCCCGCCCCTTTCCTCACATTAACTTGGACTTAAACGTCCCCTTTGCACACGTGCGTGTGTGTCTTTCCCTCAGAGAGGCTGTGCAGGCCCCGTTACACACATGGGGGCATCGTCCCAGTGAGGACACGCCGTCCCGCCTCAGGGGCCGGGCCTGCGGACGACGGGCCTTCGTCACCTTCTCCTTCCCTGCCCTCCCGACCCCGCAGCCCTCCGCGCGCGCTCGCCGAGCAGCTGGGCGCCTGCGGGCTGCCAAAGGCTACGTGGGTCCAGTGTTCGCTCCTTCCTGGAGGTTCCCGGAGACGCAGCATGAGCCTCTGGGTTCTGACCGTGCTGGGCTTGGCTCGCGTCCCTGATGACCACCTGCCCGGACCCTCACCGCCCCTCCGCCCACCCTCCTCCTCTGTCCGCCCGCCCGGCGGCCTCTCTCTGGACTCCCGCGGCGGCCACGTGTCCGTACAGCAGGGCAGTACGAGGGGCTCCACCGCCACTCTCCTTAGCCGCTGTCTGGGGTGGGACAGCGTCTGCCAGGGGCCATGTGCACTTGGAGCCTGTGAACGTGACCGTCTCTGGAAGGTCTGCAGAGGAGGCCACACAGGTCACAATGGACCCTAGGTCTAATGACCGTGGCCTTCCAGGAGGAGGGAAGTTTGCGGACAGAAACACAGACACCCTGTGGGCAGTCACCACGCGGATGCGGGTAGTGGTGGGAGCAGTGTGTCCACGAGCCGTCCACAGCGGGAGCGGTGCGTCCACGAGCCATGCACACTGAGCGGTGCATCCACGAGCCGTCCACACTGAGCGGTGAGTCCACGAGCTGTCCACACCGAGCAGTGCCATGACCAGAAGCCGGCCATGGAGGCTCAAGCAGGTTCTCCCACATCCGCATTCGGACTTCTGGCCTCGTGAGCGTCTGTGCTACTTTGTTACAGCAGCCACGGCAGCCACAGAAAAGCTGTGCTGATGCCCTTCCCTCTGCTCTCTTCCTCAAGACCATGGCATCGCAGTCAAGGGCATTTGGACGGGACAGAGTGAAAGCGGTCTCTAGGACAGGACTTGTCGCGGCCTCAACACGCTGTTGTGGCAACAGCCCCTGGAAGGGCGAGCCTGTCGGCCACAAGGCACCACTTTGAGGGACACTGGTGTCTCCCTGGACAGAGTGATCTCGTGCTTGATTATTTCCCTGCTGCTGCTCCAGGTAGAGACGTTCTCTTCCGTTTCGTAAACGTGTCTCCTCAGTGCCAGGCCTGTGCGCCTCAAGGTGGATCAGCCCACCGACCACACCCTTCCGTAAGAAGTGCCACTCCGACGCCATGTGGGTCGGGCGGCGCATGAGTCCCTGAGTCTTACAGACCGCGAAGATTATGGTCCAAACCCCCAGCCTGTGGCATGTGACCTGGTCCACAGGAAGTGGCCGGTGGCTGCGTGAGCAATTATCCCGGCTGTGAAACGTCCGCGAGCCTTCGGGACAGCTGTGTTGGCAAGAGCCGCCTAACACGCGTGAAGTCACGGCCGGGAGAAAGGACACAGCCTGCATTTGGGGCCCTGAACGCCACACAGAATACACACATTTTGGAGAACGGTCGAGGTAAAGTGGAATTTCTGCAGAGAGACGGGAGTTCTGTGGGCACTCCTCGTTCCACGGCACGTCTCGGAATGTTCTCCGTCCTTTTCTCTGGGGTGGAGGAAGCCCTGCGCGGGTTCTCCCCGGGGCCTCGGGTGCGCCGGGGGAGCAGAGCTGACTGAGGGCTCACGCAGCTTGGTGGGGCTTCGGCATGAAGGTCCCGCGTGAGCGGCCGTCTCCAGACCGGGCGGCCCACGGTTCGGCTCGGACCCGGCTCGGGCTGCGCGGCGCTGTACGCATGTCGCGGGGGGTGGCCCCGGCCCCTGGGACCCCTGCCAGCGCTGGAGGTCGGGGGCTCCATGCCGCGGTCATCGATCTGGGCACCACGACCGCGAGGTTTGCTTGGTTTTATTTTTTCCAGTAGCATGAAGGCCGCTAGGAAGGGGCCGCGCAGACACGCTCCGCTCCGCCCGCTGGCTGGGGGGCGACACCCCCGCTCGCTCGCTCACAGGCAGGAGCGCCCCGGCCTCTGCGGGTGTGGCCCTTGCCGACTCCGCAGAGGGCCCTGCCGAGGCCGGTCCTCCTTCGCGTGGGGCCGGGGGGGGGCTGACTGCCAGGTGGGGACACGGGACCACGAGGGACAGAAAACACCTGCAGTACCGGGACCGGACGGACGGGCCCTCAGAGGCCACGGAATTAGCCTCTGGCGTCGCCGCCGGGGATCCGACAGCCCAGGCTTTGCGCGTCGCCCCGCGGCTGCGGGCGGGCGGCTCGCCTCCGGGGGCTGAGAGCCGCTCGCCCACCTGCCCGTCCGGCGCCTCCCTGCTTCGCCCGCCCCCGGCCCCGCCCCCCGGCCCCGCTCACACGGTTGAGCCTCGCTGGGGTCACGGCTGCGGGCGCAGACAGGCCAGCCGGGCCTTGAAAACGCATTACAGAGAATCAACAAGGGAGAAACTGTAACGTGAACGCCGGTTTTTACGCTCATAAGAGGAGAACGATAGATAAAGAAACATTTGAAATTCTTAGAATTCAAATGCTAATTCCATTTTTTCATATATCACAAAATACAAGTGAAAGGGGGCTAAAAAAGTAGGGATCTTTAGAGCATTCGGTCTCTCAAAGGGAATTCTGCATACTCATGCTCTGAAAAAAGAAGATTGATAACAAAACATGTTAAAGGACTCGTTTAAATCCTGAAATCAGGTAACCCTTGGCGAGCACCTCTAAACACGCTTAAATCTGCTTCACGGAACTCAGGGTATCGCTCGTGACCGACGTGTAAGATCTGACCTTCAAGAAAAGTTTTAATGGGACGAGACTCACCTGCCAGAAGTCGGCCACGGTGGCAGGCAGCGGTCCCTGGGTGGCGATGTAGGCAGGGTTCCTGGGGTCGTGATCCATCTGCAGAGACAGGATGACAGTGACCAAGCTTAGAGGACGCCCGTAAAAACCCGGGAAACACAGCCCTGGCCGCGGAGGAGGTGGCGGCGGACCGGCCCGCGCCCAGTGCCGCATCGACACGCGGTGTGTGCAGAGGCGAGAAAGGCGGGCGGGTCTTCCTTAGGCTCCCCCCCCCACCCCGTTCCGGCAGTGCTTGGGCTTTAGGCGGAGCCTTGTGGCCCCATGACCAGAGCTGTGGTGACCACGTCGGGGTGCTTTCTGTACCCCTGACTTTGAGGTAATGGGAGCAGCTGGAGCCCAAGTGAAGACAGCAGATCAAAGAGGCCTGAGGCCGGTAAGTGAACAGGCCGGGCCCGGGTAGGGTGGTCAGAACACAGGCTGGGGGCCCCCAGGGCAGTGTCCACGGATGCCGGTGGCCATGGATCAATCAGCCACGTGTCGGCCTGAGTGGCCTCCACCCTGGCTGTGTGCTAGTGTGAGCAGCGTGCATACCCACCACGGGCCCCGTGCAGGGTTCACGGCATGCCCTCTGCGAGAGCTGCAGGTGCGGGGCTGGGCGGGGTGTAGCCGGGCTGTGGGTGGTCAGGTGCCACGAGCCACCCTCTGGGGTCCGGGAAGAACTGATGAACAAATGCCGCCTGCCCCCCAGAGGGGTCAGCTCCTGTCACAGGGGAGCATATTTCTGTGACGCCGAGTCGCCAGGGATCTGCGAGCACTGCGTGCTGGCTGACCGGAGCCCGGCTCAGGGGCCTCAGTTGTAACATTTCATTCAAAGACCGAGCTGGAGGGGCGCCTGGGTGGCTTAGTCGGTTAAGCGTCCGACTTTCGCTTAGGTCATGATCTCGCAGTTCGTGGGTTCGAGCCCCGCGTCGGGCTCTGTGCTGACTGCCAGCTCAGAGCCTGGAGCCTGTTTCAGTCTGTGACTCCCTCTCTCTCTGACCCTCCCCTGCTCACGCTCTCTCTCTCTCTCTCCTAGAAATAAATAAAACATTAAAAAAAACCAAAAAAACCCCCCAAAAAACCAAAGACCGAGCTGGAAAACGGAGGAGAAAGGACCCAGGGACCGAAGGCTGGACAAGCAACCAGGCGGAGAGGCAGTGTGGGGGCTGGTGAGCGGAAGGCCCCCCCCGGGGGCCACGCCTGGCCCCAGAGCACGAGGGCATCGGCGTCGCGTCCCCAAGGACTGCTCTGCCCGCCACGCACCGCGGAAGGAACGGCGGAGACCTCCCGGAGGCGCGGCCGGGGCCTGGCGCTGGAACGTCACCTTCGGGTGTGCAGCGTCCCTGATGCTTTCCCATCTGGTGCTAGAGCTTACTCTTCTGACACCCGGGTTTGGTTATGGATTTAAAATGCTCCGTATTCAAAGTTACCAGGAATACGTTTCCCAATACAGTGAAAAAGGAGGAAGGTTCAAGCACACGTCGAGTGGTGGCAGCAAACGGGGGCACTGGTGTGCACGCCGGAGGAGGGTGGCTGCGGCATGAGAGCGCGAGCATCTTACAATTATGCGCGGTGGGAGAGGCGACGTTAGTCATTCCCGCATAAGGGCAGTGGGATGCTGGCGGGGGGGGGGGGGCAGGAAAGTGCTTTCTCTGCCTCCAATTTAGTGATTCCCAATTAAGGCCGGACCTCGTCTTCAAAGGCGCCACAACACACACAATACAGGTAAAATTACGTGAATCTCGCTGAAAGCCCCAATTAAAATGTTTCAGTCGAAAAGCTTAGCAGAAATAAGGAGTTTTGATTTTTCAAAATATGCACTTGTTGGGGGTGACAGCTATTTACAAAAACCCCAGATCTTCCCAGCAGACAATTCTGCATAGAAAGTAAAACCCCACCTCCTTTTCAAAGGCCCTTTTCTGACCAAAGCAATTTAGAGAGCATCACACTTAAAAATCGTTACTATGCTCAAACTAGCGCACGTAGCTGCTTTCAAACTGAGAAATGTGCAATTAAAAGTAAAACCTGCGCACCATCCTACTGCGGTAGGTCTCCGTGGCCCACCCCCACCACTCAGGCGCCCGGACAAGGGAGGACGTGGCTCGGGCCTTGGTGGCGGTCACGTGGCCGCCTCTTGGGAGGCAGTAAGTAGCATAATGACCCCAGAGCGGCACAGTGTGTCATCAGCGCAATGGTGATTCACAGACAATTGCAGTGACTTCCTTCCGAGCACATTCTGTTGGACAGAAGATAATTTCGGGCAGAAGCACGTCGTGCGCCTTGTGCGTGTGGCACATATAAGGCGACAGAGAGCCTGCTGGTCGCGGGGGCGGGGGGGTCTTTAGCTGAAGCCAATTATTTCACTAAATGAACAGAAGCTTTGTATTTAGGATTTCCAAAGCAGGATGAGTATAATGAGAGGCACTCAAGTTCTACTAACGCTGCCTCCGCCATCAGGAACTCTGGCCCACGACCCCAGCACGTGGACGTGGACGTAGACGTGTGTCTTCCGCCACCGTTCCCAGCGCGTGTGACGCGGCGTCTGCTGCTCCCTGCAGTCTGTGCTGCGTCTGCTCCCCATCGTCTCATCACCTTCCTTTCCTTCGCAGGGTCCCATTTACGGGCGCGTCTCGATGTGCACAGACACGGGCTCCAGGACGGAGGACAGCCAGCTCCTGCCCCTTGGCCTCCGTCCGGGTGTCTGGGAAACGGCGGGGGAGGAGGAGGGCCGTCTGCGTGCGTGGCCTCCATGTGGCCGCTGGCTCTGGGATCTGATGTGCCTGCCCGCGTGGGTGTCCTGGCGGCCAGCCTGACACTCTCAGTGAGAGCCTCTGCGTGCAAGCACCCTGCCCCCGGGTGGCCTTCTCCTTCGTGGACTGACCAAGGCAGAAGGCTCCAGACAATCAAACGTGACTTAATGCTGAGTGACTGCATGCCAAGCGAGGGCCACAGGGTGCCAGGTCCCAGGTATAATTAACAGCACAATTTTGCTTTTACTGTTTGTTTTTTTCCCCCAGAAAAAGGAAAACAGTTTAGTTGTGTTGTATCCCTTATCCATGTGGCTGGCTGTTTCTTATCGAGACACCAAACGTGGCAGGGAACCGGAGAGGAGGATCACGACGAATTCCTAAACGCACGGGTACAGCGTACCACAAAGCACACCGAGCCACCAGCCAGGAGCTGGGGAATGGCAGTTATTAACTAGGTGCGAGTTGTCTGCCAAACTCTAACGTGAATTAAAAACAGCAGTAATTTCTCCAGCAGTGCAAACAAAACAGATTTTTAAACTCAAGAGTTCAGTGTGTCAAGACCAGTTGCCCAGGCCCTGAAGCCTTCAAGAGCACGGGGTGGGGGGTGGGGAGAGCCAGACCAGCTCCTGCCCCGACCGGGCCTCGCCTTAACCCTGCCCGTGACCCGGGAGGGGTGCGGGGCCACGCCTCTACTCTGAAATCTCAGAGGGCACGCACGCATGTTTTCCTTCGGGATGCCTATCCGTCTCCCCCTTCATCTGTTCCAGCATCTACAGCAAATTTCACAGAACGTTTTCTTAAAAACAAGTGAATATCAAACCTGAGTTTTTGAGCCACTTTTCCTGACACTACGTCTTCATGTGAGGATTTCCCGAGAAGCTGTAGCTTCAGAAATCAACGTGACAAAGACTGACTCAGGAGCTGAAGTTGTTTTCAGATTTTATCCGTATGAGTTGATATTTAAGTCAATTACAGGATATAATATGCACACGTGGATGTTTGCTTGTGAATATTTTCCGAGAACCAGAGAGGTGGCTCCCATATTCGGCCACTTGCTTATGCTATTCAGGACGTCTGACCAGGCACGCCTTCCAGAGGCGTCCATGTGTGCCTACGTTAGCTAAACACATCCTGAATTAAAGCTTTGAACGGTTTTTTCTCCCTCAATAAGGAGTGGAATGAAGAGTAAGCTTATTTTCAAGTTTGGGGAACTGCAGAGCCGTTCCTGCGGAGAAGTCTGCGCGCTGCTCCGACGGGGCTGGAGGGGGCTCCTGGCCGCGCCGCGCAGGGACACAGGGTTCTGTGCTTTCCAGACTCGGATCTCGAGGCAAAGACCACACGTTCTTTACCAGCCGAGGGCTTCCCTAAAATTTACTGAGGCCTAAGTACACACGTGACAGATGCAGTTCTGATGGTTTTATTCTGCGCAGCCAGGGTCTTCCTGGGCTTGGATCCTTAGCTTTTCGTTCAGCTGCTGCCGGGAAGCTCACGACCGCCGTCCTGCAGCCATCTCGGAAAGAAGAGGCCCGCGCTTCATTCTTACACCCCGAATTAAAAGAAAGAAAGAATTGTGGCAGGAAATAAAGGGAAACATGAAAGAGACCTTAAATCCCTCTCTCTCTGGGCATCGCTTTCTGACCCAGGCCCCCCCCCCCCCCCCCCCCCCCCCCCCCCGGTAGGCAGGGCCTGGGAAGGCTGGGACTCAGGCGGTGCCGGAGGCAGGCCCCTCCCCCCACGAGCCCCCGCCCCCATGAGCCCCCCGAGCGCCCCCCCCCCAAGCACCCCCTCAGCGCTGCTGCACGGTCTCCAGGAGCCATGGGCTCCTGCACCGACGTCCCGCTTCAGCCTCAAGTACGCACACGTCGGGAAGCTGGGACCCGTAAAAGTGGGGGGAGCTGGGCACGCCCCAACTCTGGACTCTCATCGATTAGACGTGAAAATAACTGTGCTATTTCTTTTCCTGGCCCCGGGACATGGTTCCTGCCCTGGACAAGGAGCCCTTCAGGAGGACACGGCTCTCCAGGCGGATCTGAGCTGCTGTCACCGCGGGTCCCGGGGCACCACGTCCAAGCACTCACAGCCCCCACCTCACCAGCAACGGCGCTCTGTCTACACAGCAAGAGCCTGTAAATCGGCGAGGCTTTGGCTTGAATCCGAAGTGACAACAAAGGACTAAGCACTGCACAGGGCATTTACCGAGAGGGGCTGGGTGGCTCCCAGTGAGGACGATGGGGACACAGGGAACCCACCCTGAGGCCCACCTGTGCTGGAAGTAACCGGCTCTGGCCTAAAAATAACTGCAGGAGCCAAGGTCTGGGCTCCAGGGTGTACACAGACCAGCGGACCAGCTCTTAACCCACTTTCTCGTGGCGAGCACGTCACGCACTGCCCTTGCTCTGCGCCGAGAGGGCCGCGGATGGGGACCGGGGGTGTACCGGACGCCGAGAGGGCCGCAGATGGGGACCGGGGGTGTACCAGACGCCGAGAGGGCTGCGGATGGGGACCGGGGGTGTACTGGACTCCAGCGACAGGCTTCCCGCATCTGTGGAACCAGCAGCCGTGAGAACTGCCATCGCAGCTGCAGCCTGACTCACAGGGCAGATGTTCTCATGTGAAGCCTGCTCCTGGCAGAGGGGGGGCTGTCAGGGCGAATCCAGGGGACCCGAGCTCTCACTGAGCCAGGCGCGTGTCACCAGTGTGCCCCCTGAGCTGGAGCCACGCGTTGTGTCTGCCTGAACATACATCTGAGATGTCGGTGCGACGTCCTGAGGCTCCCCCACGGCCCACGTTGACATGCATGGTTCACAGGGACCACACGCTGCCTCCCCCGTGAGTCCCCACCGGCTCCCAAACTCTGCCACCAACCACGTGCTCCAACACACCCTCTTGTGGACCCTTGTTTCACTTTCTTCCCACATGGAGTCACTCCAGCTTGGTTTTGAAAAGTCAGGCTGAGCATCGCTTAGTCTGTTCTCTGAGAGGGGACACGTCACCCCCCACCCCGGCTCCCACAGCATTCGTGCCGGGAGAGGCCCATGCCAGGGGTGCCAGCCAGTCTCCCCAGGCTGGAGAGCCTGGCGGTCAGGGGGTCTCCCAGGGGGTGGTGAGTTCTCAGGGGCAGAGCGCGGCCCTGGGGGGCACAGCCTTCGGGAAAGGGCCGCCCTGGAAATACCCATGGAGACCAGCCCGCGCGCACCTGCCCCGCGCCCCCTGTCAGTTTAACAGGGGCAGGTTTGGGCCTCGTGTTCTCCATCCTCCTGAGCCAACGGGAACGAGTGGGTCTAGAAAAGGTGCACAGCCAACTCTGTTTTCCTAAAACTCACACACTTCTGGTCCAGAACCCAGCGGGCCGCTGCGGCCGGGGCCCTCACACCAGCGGACCCCGACCGCCCTTCCCGGGGGAACCCAGCCCGGGCCGCCTGGTGAACCCTGATGACCCGGCTGACACCAGTCACTTGGTGGAGACCAGCTACCTAGTCGGTTCGCGCCCGGCTGAGGCCACGTGGGCTCGCGCCCCGGCGTGGTGGGCCTTGTGCCCGGTGGTACTCACGATGGGGCTGGCGTTGATGTAGTCCGACTTGCTGTGGCTGTTCTCCGGCTTCAGCAGGAGCCTGCAGTGATCGTCTGTGGACAACCCCAGAGGCAGAGAGTTAGGAGTGTCTGTGAGGGGCTGCGCGAGGGGACCGCGGCCACCCAGGGCCCATCCAGGTGACGTCCCCTCCCGGGGCCCCACTCAGGCCACTTGCCATCACTTCCCTCTCCGGGAGAAGAAGGGTGTGTGTGGACCACTGATACTAGCATTCACCGACTACGAGGTATTTTTATGTTTTTCTTACGTAGAGTTCAAATACCAGGATGACTGTTCCTTTGTAAGACTGCAGTTAAGGTTTCCTTTTGTTTATTTTATTATCATTATTTTTAAATTTTTAAAAAATTTATTTTGAGAGAGAAAGAGACAGTTTAAGCAGGGGAGGGGCAGAGAGAGAGGGAGAGAGAATCCCAAGCAGGGTCTGTGCTGCCAGCCCAGAGCCCGACACAGGGCTCGAACCCACGAAGCTGCGAGATTGTGACCTGAGCCGAAGTCAGACGCTCAACGGACTGAGGCCCCCAGGCGCCCCCACAGGTTTCCCTTTAAGTAGCAGACGTCTGTGGCAGCAGACAGGAAACACACATTGACATGAACATTAAGATGTTTGGCAACTGCTGTGTTATAAACTTCTGTGATCTGGGGACGGTTAGACCCTGGGGTGACAGGAATTTAGTTTCGAAGGGAGGGTGGGAGGGAGGATGGGAGAAAAGAAAACCGTTACAGAAGGAACAGAGGCGTGTGCAAGCGGAGGCCCCCCGATGACCCCCCCCCCCGCGTGCCATAAACGTGCACGTGATCCGACTGATTCTGCAACCAGACATATTAGTGGGGATTCAGGACATGTGACTGTCAAAGCTTAGTGTTTCATACATGAATTATTCTTTTTTTTTTTTTTAAAGTTTACTTATTTATTTTTTAGAGAGAGAGCACGAGAGGGGGAGGAAGAGACAGACAGGGAGAGAGAACCCCAAGCAGGCCCACGCTGCCCGTGCAGAGACCGACGTGGGGCTCGATCCCCTGGACCGTGAGATCACGGCCTGAGCGCAAATCAAGAGTTGGACGCTTAACCGGCTGAGCCCCCCAGGCGCCCCTGACACGTGAATGATTCTTAATTCTGGTTCTGGAATAACCACCGTCCGGTGTGCGGTGACATCCCTCTGCCTGTTTCCAGGAACTTTCAAAGCTGTTCCTTGGCGGGGTGCAAGGAGGCGCACAGGGAGCAGTGGCGGGGGGTGGCCTCAGGGGAGGGACGCCCGCGAGGGTCCCTCCTTCCCGCCACCTTCCCCGCCTCACGGCTCACCTCCGCCGTCTCTGCTCCAGCGACCCGCCTTCCGCCATCACGCACACCTACTTCTTTTCTTCTGGGAAAAGGGAGACAACGGCCGGGGCCTTCGAGGCCAGGGACGCGGTGGGTGGTGAGTGCCTCACCGCGGTCCTGCGCTTCAGCCGCGGCTCCCAATTCCAGGCTCCCAACCTTGAAAGCACCTTGGGCAGCGGGGGCAGGAAAGCCCGGGGACGCTGCTTTGGTCTCATTTCTCCAGGAGATTTTACTTAATTTCTTTTATCAGCAGCTGTGGGGCCTGGGAACGTCGGTGAGTCTCCCGGACTCCCATCGGTCCCACTGAGACAGCGACGCTGGCTTTTGTCCAGCAGAGATAAGACGGATGAGAAGCCTCCGGAGACGAGGAAGGGCACTTCGTTGCATGGCACGCTCACACAGGTCCGTGGCATTGCGCCCAAAGGGTGTGGAAATGCTCCGAAGGCACTTGTGACGGTAGCCGCTGAGGCGTCCCCCTGAGGCGTGAATAACGATACAGAAATCCCATGAGCTCAGTGGTTTTGGGTTCCTGCACAAATTTATTCTTGACAGAGTGAACACTGACAGTGGCAGGAAATTGAAATAAAAATGACCAGAAAATCTGGTCAACCTGCCATCCTAACGCTCGGCAAACGTGACTGTGCCGGGGAAGCTTGGTGCGTCTGACTCCATGTTGCTCCCATTGCCTTTGTGGCCGTGGCCCGTGGCTGGGAGACCTGTGCTCAGCCCCGCACGTGAGTGCGCTAGTTGCTGAAGGAATGATGCTCGCAGCTGAGACCCGTACAAACCGCCCGACCAGGAACCTGTTCCCCTGAGCAGATACTGAAGTATGTACTATCTGCAAAGATCAAGTGACCAAGGACAAAGGAGCTTCACGGTCCCTCTCGGACCCCTTCTGGCTCTTGGATGTCTGCAGTGATAGTCACCTTTGGACCCCACCCCTCCCGTCTCCCCTTCTCTCAACACCAAGGAAGCCTGCATTTGTGCGGAGACAAGATGGTTCTTCGGGACGACGGTCCGCCATCTTGGTCTGCTGGCTTCCCGGGAAACGTCGCTTTCCTTCCCCCAATACCTTGCCTCTTGACTTACTGGCCTGTCATACAGCAAGTGGAATGAGCTCAGACTTGGCTACACTACCCCCAAACGGAGTTCAAAAAGGCCCGTTTCACAGTGGGGCGCTTCATGGAGGCATCAACTGGAGACCGTGATGTATCTCTCAGAAGTGGACACCTTTTCTGAAGGCTGTATCTGGTCGGTTGTTGCAGCTTATGTACCATTCTGGAGTAAAAAAGCAGAGCTTCTAGCTGCTTCCAGAGGGTTCCAGAGGGCTTCCCAGGAGCCCTGCTCTTGTAGAATTATTTTCAACACAGCCAAATTCAGACACTGTTGATGGTGGCAGTGAGGACCCCTCCTGTCTGAGAACCTTTCACAAAGAGCAGGGTCACTGGTGAAAGGGAAGGGAGGGGTTTAGGGAGGAAGAACCGGACCCTCTGTCTCTGGCTCCAGACGGTGTGCTGTGAAGGTGCCAAACGTCGCCTGGCTGGACAGGCACGGGCCTGGGGGCTGCTGGGTGCCCTTCACCTCCAAGGGGTCGGCACCGCCCTGCCCCCGAGCAAGCAGCGCAGGGAACGTCCACCAGCTGGATTTTCCAGTCAGAAAATGAAGAAGATGCTTGTGGGTGTGGGAGTCTCGGAGGAATAAAAACGCAGCCTGGGAGCTGGGTGCTCTGAGGGCTAAGGGGACACAGGGCTTGGAGCACTCGAGCCCAAGCCCGGCTGTGGGGACAGCCTCTGCTGTCAAGCTCTCCGCCAAGCGCTGTTTCAGCCGTGTCGTTTCCTGCAGGCCGCCCTTTACAGGCGCCATCGAGGCCGGGACAAGGGCCTCCGAGTTGTGATAACCTCGCACAACGTAACTGACTGTGGCGACATGGTGATTTCAGAGTGAACAGTGAATTGGTTCTGTTTTTAATACTAGGTCGTCTGAGGCTCCACGTGACACAGCTGGGGCCACCCTGCAGGGGTCAGCCGGCCAGGGTGCCGTGGGGGCGGGGTCACGAAGTGGGGACAGCCCAGGGGGTATTTTGATTGGTCCGGTGAATGTCAACTATTTTGTGGTTCACTTTTCCTGTTCATCTTTTAAAAAGAGCTCTTATGGGAGATGATGAGCTGATGTCAAGTTGAGAACGGCCGCCTCTATCCTTTGGAAGGCCGAGGGCTGGCAGATTACAGAGTCAATCAAGGTCAACCAGAGAGTTGGAGGTGAGGCCAGGGCGGGGCTCAGAAGCACACCCCCTCTCCCTGGCCTAGGCTCGTAGATGGGGTACGGTTCTGTGGGATGGTTCCGTGGGATGGCCGGTGTGAGCACACAGTCCTGCCTGGGAGCAAACATAACACAACGGCCCCAACCACGGAGCAAGGACACGTAGCCACCTGGGCGCTTGCACGTCAGCTAGCAGGGGTGTGCTCTTTAGGGCTTAGAGAGCTCACCCGGAAGCCAGAAAACGGAAGCTCATCTCCTTCTCCTCTGTTTTTGGCCCTAAGATGAGTAGTTTTCTCTGCTAAGATCCACGATGGTAAGTTTTAACAGGGAGGGAAGGAGAAAATCACTCCCAAGAGGAAAGCTGTTGATTAAACTCCTGTGTGGCGTACGCTTTTCCCAAGTCCTTGTTCAAGAGCAACGTCCCAAGCTTCTCCAACATTCTATCTGTTCTAAAAGTAGTTCCACATGTTACCTGCTTCTTCCCGGAGCACTGGGCCATGCGTCGAACAGGGTCCACTCCCATTTTAGATGGAAGAAGCCATGGCCCAGGAAGACCCAATGTTTGCCTTGGCAAAGGCCTCACAGCCAACAGCTGAGAGTCCAGGGCTTGAATCCTGGCCCCGCCCCCTGCTGGCCAGGTGATATTTGGGCAAATTATTCAATACTTTAAAGGGTCAGATTTGTCATCCAAAACGTAGGCTGACGATCTCACAGGGTCGCCATGATAAACGGCACAAGTGAAGCACTGGCTGGAGTGCCTCGCGCACAGGAAGGGGCGGAGGCACCAGTTCAAGACCACAAACACCTAAGTGATGAAAAGTGAGTTAACGTGGCAAAACTTATTTATGGTACGCTGTGTTGCCAGTGAACAGATGCCAATGATTTTCATAGACGCCAACGGAAGAAACAAGTTCTAGAAAGTCTACTTGATCCCCAGCAGGACAAAGAGCACCTGAAGACAGCCCAGGGCACTTCTGGAGGCCGAGCCACCAGCGGGCAAGTGCCAGCATGTGCCATTGTCCCGAACCTGTCTGCCTGGACCCGTGAAAGGACGGTGCGCGGGGCCTTCCGGTGCCTCTAGCCTGTCCTGTAGTGCTCAGGATAGCGTCTCCCCAGGCGCCCTGGTTGTGTCATTCACGCCAGGTGAACTGATACGTGTGAGTCAATAACCTCCACGCCACGAGCGGATGAATTCCTTGGTGTTGAATGCCTATGGCTCAGGCGTGTGGACACTGGCACTGCACAGGGAATTTTCATCACCCGAACAGTCGGCCAAGGTCCTCACGGGGCTTTCCAGCTGTCTTTCCATTACGCTGTTTCCTTTACTCTGATGGTGTGGCTAGTGGGGATGCGAGGCGTGTGAGGTGGACCCCGGGGTTCTGTGCTGGAGGGTTGGGGCTCTGAGACTTGAATGGAGACCTGTGCACCCGGAGGAGCTCAACGGCGTCAGCAACTGCC